GAGGAGCCGATCGGAGCAGCCACCGCCAGAGAGGCCAGCCCACAGGTTCGCCTGTCCCCCTGCCCTGCTCACAATCCAGCTTCTGCAAAGTGGACTAGGTCTTCATTGAATTTTGTGTTGAAGACAGTAAAGATGTTAACGTAAATTTTGAAAAATCCAAACTGACTTTCAGTTGTCTTGGAGGAAGTGATAATGTTAAGCATTTAAATGAAATTGATCTTTTTTTTACTGTGTTGCTCTAAATGATTCCAAGCATAAAAGAACGGACAGATCAATTGTATGTTGTTCACTAAAAGGAGAGTCTGGCCAACCATGGCCTAGGTTAACCAAAGAAAGGGCAAAGCTTCATTGGCTTAGTGTGAACTTCAGTAATTGGAAAGATGGGGAAGAGGATTCAGATGAAGACATGTCTAATTTGAATTGTTTCTCTGAGATGATGAACAACATGGGTGGTGATGAGGATGTAGATTTACCAGAAGTAGATGCAGCAGATGATGATTCACAAGACAGTGATGATGAAAAAATGCCAGATCTGGAGTAAGGAATATTGTCGTCGCCTGGATTTTGAGAAAGAAAATTATTTCTCCACAAGATTTCATGATTGAGAAAATTCCTGAGTTATAGCTCTAAAGGCAGCTGCTGTATTTGCCTCCTTTAACCCATTTTTCAACCTGTTCCCCCCGCTTCACTAAGGGTTGATAATGTACCATTGTATAGGGCAAATTTAAGTCAGCTAAGGCACTTTCAGCTTATATCTAGCTGAAAACCTCAATTTATGTTCATGACAGTGGGGATTTTTTAAAATGTCTACATTCTTTCTAATAAACCATTGGAAGACTTAAAAAAAAAAAAGAATACCAGCGCTACCTATGCACAGATGGGGTATGGTAAGAGAAGGTAGGTTACTGGGAGAATGCCTTCAGGTATGTAGTCTGTCTCTAGTTAGCCACGCGAAACTTTTCTCCTCTCTATTGTTCTTGCTACATGTGTTGGTCACAGCAATGAAAAAAAAACTGACTAGAACAGATTTTTTTTTTTTTTTTTTTTTTGCTGAGAAGTGGAGTCATTTGTTTAATTAACGTAAGTAGCTGTGACACTTTTTGAATTTTTTCACTTAATGGGAAAATTTGTCTTTTTTTATATATTCTTTTTAGTCATACATGATGGTAAGATGTATTTTGTTAAATTATATGTACATGGAGTATAACTTCTCATTCTTTCATTCTTACATGATGAAAAAATTACATTGATCCTGTAGTCATATATGCACATAGGAAAATAATGTCTTATCTATTCTACTATCTTTCCTATTCCCATTTCCCTTCCTTCCCTTTATTCCTCTTTGTCTAATCCCAAAACATTTTTACTCTTACCTTCACACCCCTTATTGTGATTTAGCATCTGCATATCAGAGCAAAGCTTTGGCCTTTGGTTTTTGGGAATTGGCTTAGTTTAAAGATCCAAACTGGAAAATAAACATTTTAGAATGTTGTAAGTGGAGTTTAGTGTGTAATTCTTGTGGGGATTCTGAAGTTCAGAATGCTGATAGGAGTCTGCAAAGACAAGAATGGGCTCAAGAGTTGCATAGGCAGACTATTAGAAATTTATAATTAGAGTTCATTCCCATTAGTTATATCAAATAAGTTTTCTACCTTTTGCCCATTCCCTGAGACTTTCTGTGAGGTTGACTTTAAAGATGATGGACTAATCGGGCAGAGAAAATTTCAAGGCAGCACAAAATCCAGGCAGTGATATTAATATTTCTGAAGGCTTTTAGTTTACAGTAACTATTACAAGCAGAAAACAAGAGAAGAACTTTTTTAATTTTTCTAATTTAAAAAAAAAGAAGTTTTTTTTTTTAATTAGAAAAACTTGGGTGTTTGTCCAGAAAAGTGCTCGTAAATCTAGATCTATTGAATATGTAGTTTTTAAAAAGAATTAAAGTCAGTAAGAAAGTCCTAGGTACATTAGAAAATAGAAAATATGGCTTGAAGGTAGCTCATAAATGGGCATACCACATCCATTTTAGGCTCAGGAGTATAAAAATAAAAATTACTTTGAAAAAAGACCATGGTAATACCTTTCTTGCATTGTGGAGTCTAGGAAGTGGCTTCACTATGCTGAGTAAAGCAGAAACTAAGATGCTGCTACAGACAGGGCACAAGAAAGCTTGTCTATTGCTTCAGATCTTGGGAGACCATGGTGTTAATCATGTCCTTCAGTTCCTCAGGAATGCATAATGCTGAATTTAGGGGGTCAAGGAGGCTTCTGCAGAAATTTCAAAGGAAGGCCTGTAGATGAGGAAAGAGTTTCAGGGACAGAATCCTTGTGGATTGCCCTGAGAGGGTGAGGCATGAAGATGTGGAAAGGAAGCTGAAATGAATATACCTGAGATACCAGTACTGTGGGACATCTGCTGAGGAAAATTGAAAACTTTTGAGAAGAAACAAGTAAAGAGATGTTATGTGGTCTGCAATCAGCAAAGATATAGGGATGGAGCTACACAATCTCTCTGAAGAGAATATCAGCATAGCATATTCACCACATCCTGGATGCAGAGCTACAGGTCCTATATGCCAAGCTGAATTTGAGTCTTGGTTTTATCTTACATCGTATTTCTCTCTGGTGGAATGAAAACCTTTATTCTGTGCCATTATATATTGGATCTGGATGACTTTCTTTTGAATTACACAAGGTTCAGGTTAAGTTTGCCTTTAGTCTCAGAGCAGACTTTGTACTTGTACTTTTGGGCAATGCCGAAACTGTTAAGGTGATGGGGACTCTTAAAAATGAAATGGGCTTTTGTAAGGAGAAGAATGTCCTTTTTTGGATCTGTGGTTTCTCTCAGATGCTCATGTGGGACTGTACAAAAAAGTTTAAAATAATTAGAATATGAAATTATATCCTAATCAGTGGCCTGTAATTTATCTCCAGTGAATTACTGGCTATACAATTATAAATTTGCCAGTAAATTGATGGATCTGGAGCTCATCGTGCTAAGTGAAATAAAGAAATCCCCCCAAAGCCAAAGGTTGAATTTTTCTTTCTATATGAAAATGCTAACACACATCAGGTGGGGGGTGGGGAAATAGAAATAAGAAAAACAGTAGAATGTATTGGACATAACTTTCTTATGTTCATATGTGAACCCTTCATCAGTGAAACTCCACATCATGTACAACAGGAGAATGAGATCCTAATTAGAATAGGTTATAATCCATGTATGTATAATATGTCAAAATACCCTCTTGTCATGTATATCAAGAAAGAACAAATTCAAAAATTCACTCTAATTTTTGTCATTGAAATAAAAATAAAAATATAAGAAAAGACTCTTGAAAATTCCCAACAACATTTACATTGTTGAACTGATGATCAACAATGAATAAATTTTGGGGGATAGACTTAAAGCATATCCAATCCAGTATATTATGCCTCTCATTCCCTGAGATCATGTCTTTCTCACAATTCTAAATGAATTATCTTATTCTCTCAAGTTTCAAAATTTAGCTGGTTACAATATCACTCAAAATTATAAGTTCAAAGTCTCTTGAGATTTAAAGAATATACTCTTTCCTGTTTGGGCCTATTTTATATTAAAAAAAGTTCCATACTTCTAAAATATGATGATATAGGACAAGCATTCCTATTCCAAAATGAAGAAATAAAGAAGTGAAAGAAAGGAGCCAGTCTCAAGTAAGAAAGAAATTCAGACTGGTAGAGATTAAATCCCAAACCCCCATGACCACCATCGGGTGTATATTCTGGTGAGGTGTACTCTCCCAAGGCCTTGGAGAATTCAAGTCCTGGAACTCTGCTAGTTTCAGTGGCTGAAATCGAGGGCCTTATGCTAATATCAGTGATTTTCAAACATGGTGCAGAAAATTGATACCCAGGCAATGTTTTTCTGGTAACTTCACTACATTCTCTTTAGGAATTTTCCCATGTGGGTGTTCCTGAAGGAGTTCAGACACTGATACAGGTGTTTGTTCTTTACTCCCATGCTTTCCTTTGTAATTCAAACAGAAGCTGCCATGCCTTGTAACTCTTGAATTCTGTGCACCTCCAAACCCAACTCTACCTAAGCAGCATGATTCAACACTTGCACATGATGCATCTGGATCTACTTCAACTCTAGTTTCAGCTATATCAGTGAGCAGAAAAATCCATCCAGAGGTGATTCCAAGTGAAGGGGTTTATGGAAGGTCCCTCTGGAACTTACCATGAAAAGAATTCTTCCCTGATACATTTCTGGTCATATGATGGGGTAGGATGCAATGAAAACTTTTTGAGACATCTGAAGGCCTGTGATTCATTGTCTTTTCAAATTGCAAGTTTCCTTCCATCTACTTTGATCTCTACATTTTCATACAAAAATCAACTTTATAATTGTAAACTTTCCTTACAGAAACATCCTTACACTTAGAGATACATTTAAATTTCCCTCCTACTCATTGTTTCTCTTTTCTTTATTATTATTATTTCTATTTATTTATTTTTGGTACCAGGGATTGAACTCAGGGGCATTTGACCACTAATACACATCCCCAGCCTTATTGTTTTATTTTTGTATTTTCTATTTTATTCATAGACAGGGTTTCACTGAGTTGCTTAGTGCCTTTCCAACTGCTGAGACCACCATGCCTGGCTGTTTAATATTTTTTTTCATCCACATCATGAAAAGCTAAACAACTGTTTATTATTTTTGTCCATAAGTCGTGAGTTAATCTCTTTAATAAATGTTTTACCATAACACCTGTAATTTTTTTATATAATTAGTATGTGAAATTATATATGCCTTAAGAAATTTTGATTTATCAACTCTATGGTGAAAACGTATAAAATTGGCAATATTTAAAGTATTTGACTTATACCAACAATTGAATACATATTATATGAATTAGAGAAATATATACTTTCCTAGGTCAATTTTTTTAATGTGAAAGAGAACATGTATGCTGGGGAAATCACATTCAGCAAGAGCACAAGCACAACTGAGATGGTAGGAAAACTCAGGTTTATTACATCAGAAGACCCGGATGAGCTCTGAAATTCTGGGTCCCAAGCTGAGGTTATACAGGGCTTTTATAGAAAAAAATCGACATTCTTTCTTAACCATTACAACATTGGTGGGTTTGAATTCATGACCAAAAACCATGAGTGGAAGTTCTTGCAATAAACAGTTTACAGCAGCAGAACAAAGGCAGAGAAAAATCTGCAAGTGATATCTGGAAGTGGTCATTACCACATGGAGCAATTTCTCAAGATATCTGCAAGCATACATTCCTAGAATCTATATTTCAAACAAAGCCATGCTTAAAAAGTTATAGTTCAAACAGCAGTGAAGTGACATATTAACCTATACTCACACTAGCAATTAAGTGACACAGCTACAATCCTACAAAGATCAGAAATTTATAAGGTGCCATTTCATTCTGTATTGTAATAATAAAATAAAATATATTTTTATAAAATTTTTTAAAAGTCAATATTAGGTGATTTTATCCTCATTTTTAACAATTAAAACTCAGTATTTTAACTCAGAAATAACTTATATAAGTTTCAATTACTTGTTGTAACACAAGGGTAAGTTAATTATGTAACTTGTAAACATTTATATTCACCTAATTTAATTCTTACAATATACCTAGATTACTTAAAAACTATGACCTTGTTTTAGTTAGATTTTTCACTACTGTGACTAAAGGACCCATCCAGAACAATCATGGAATAGGCAAGTTTATTTCCGGGTTCATGGTTTCAGAGGTCTTAGTCCATAGAAGGCTGGCTCCATTCCATGAGGCTTGAGGTGAGGCTAAACATCATGGTGGGAGAGTGTGGTAGAGCAAAGCAGCTTACATCATGATGATCAAAAAGCAGATAGAAAAATCTATATAGCCAAAGACATTCCCCAATTTCTACCTCCTCCAGTTGTACCATACCACTTCAGGTATGTTGTTATTTGAAGAAACACCTCATTTTAATCTGGTTGAACCTGTTCTTGACTTAAGGGCATTGAATTTTCAAATCTGAGACTTATTAGTTTACCAATTTCTTATGTCAATGCAATTACTATTATTTCAGTAATTAGTAGCCTATAAAAGTAGATGCCATATCCACTTTTGTGATCAAGCAGCAGTACTAAGGAAAGCCCACAAACATTATAGTCTTTTTTCTTGGGAAGAACCTGTTGAGTTAGATTTTTCTCATGCATTATGATAGGTTGATGCCAAATGCTCCTTCCCTCTACACTCATCAGTGCCAGCACCATAGATTGAAACCTCATCAGAAGGTAAACATAGGGCTGCTGAGGAAGCCGCACACAGGAGACAGACAAATACACCATCTTGCCTGCACAATAGCCCCTGTTAGACAACTGAATCTAACTAGGGGATTCCTTTAATTCTCCCCAAGTTATGTGTCTACTTGCTTTCTGCAACTTTACAAGAAACTATGCCTGGTCATCTCCCAGGATTGTACAATGGTTCTATGTACATGGTGACCAATACAAATAATAATGGTGACCAGAGTAAATGCAGTTACCATAAAGCTACAGCCTGACTCTTAGTAATCAGGTCTCAATGCTGAATGGTTAAGGTACGCTGTTTTTACGACCTTAATGGTAGATGAGTGCCATGCATGGCACAGTTTATAAACCATTTCTCTCTATGTAATGAGAATTTTTATGTGTGGGAAGAGATGACAACACATGGTATAACTCATAAGTTTGTGATGACATGAGCCAAAGGCCATCAACAACTGTTGGTTCTGAAAATATGACTCATACTTCTGCTTGTGTTATAAATGGTTTTAATAATTTCTCACTGACCCCACTGATTATAGAAAATAATACCCTAGGTTACTGAGACAAACACATGACAACCATCACATAACAGATGGGCTGGACAGCAATTTGTCACATGTATTCACTGTCGAGCATAGGCGATCACTGTAAGTTCTCCAGAGCCACTAAGGGTAGAGGAGAGAACAAACTGTTAGCAAGGGGGTAAGACTATATAGTATCATTAAAGGAAGTTTCTAAAAATTGGTTTGGGATAATTAATTGTGCTTACTGCCAGAAAGATGAATCATTTTATATTACAGATTGATAAGTTTTAAAAACTACACTATGAAGCTATTTAATACAAAATACTATAACATCAATTGCATACAGTTTAAGTACATTTGCATACATTATCATATAAACTAGTTATTTACAATGTAGTTTCATACAAACTACTATACCTCCTATATACTTTACACAATGTTGTGTGCACATACATACACTATGTGTACTAGCTAATAATGTATGATATGTTATACCAATATATACAAAATTTTTGACTATCAAGACAAAAAGCATCAAATTATTAGAAAATTGAATATAAAAGCCTCTTATTCCATGATAAGAGATTTGGCCAGGAAAAACAATGTTTTCACATTTTAAAGTCAATTAAACACACATGTTCAGTTCCAGCATTCATTATTCACTTCTGAATAGATACAGTAAAAATAAAAGCATCCCCACTTTCCATGCCTTAGTAGTGTTTTTCTCAAGACTATTTTTTTTGTTTTAAAATGAATATAGTAAAACATTACCATGCTCCTCACATATGCATGACTTTTCTCACATTTGAATAATTCCATGTTTTTAAAAGAACTGAAAAATTGAAAGCATTATCAGATTTCTTAAAGTTATCAGGTTTTTCTCTAATAAAAGTCACTTAGTATATTTGAATAAAATTGGAAAACTTGAATTCTATTCCAAACTGTTTACATAGAGACTTCCTGAATGAGTTTTTTTATGTAAATAAAGAGGTATAGGTTGAATTTAAAGTGTCCCCCAAAGGCTCAGGTGCTGGTAATTTGACCCACAGCCAATGGTGCTGTGCAAGGAGACAACAACTTTAGGAGGAAAGGTCTAAATTGATGAAATTTGGAGATTCCTGTTTGAATTAAGATGAACTTCCTTCTGCTGTGAGAAAAAACTCTAAAAAGCTACAATCCTCTGGTAGGTAACACAAAGGATAATAGTGGAAATCACTCCCTCCTCAGGTGTCTGTACATATGAACATTTCTTTTGTTTTATTTGACTTTGTTGTGCCTTCCCTCTCTACTAAGCAGAGAAGGTGGGTAATTGAGATATAACCTTGGAAGGTGTACTCTTTAACACACTGCTTACACTAATAAGGCTTTCATCTAGGATGAATTTATAGATTTGTTGTTGTTTTGTTTTGGGGACCAGAGGTTGAACTCAGGGGTGCTGAACCACTGAGCCACATCTTCAACCCTTTTTTTTCCTATTTTATTTAGGGACAGGGTGTCACTAAATTGCTGAAGCTGTCTTTGAAATTGTGATCCTCCTTTATTAGCCTCACAAACATCTGGGATTATAGGCATGCATCACTGCACCTGGCTTGATCATGGTTTTGAGTGGACTTTTATTAAGCCAAGGCTTTACAACATTGTTTCCATTCATAGTACTTCTTTCAAATATGAATTTTTTTTCATGTTTTCTAATGGAGCTAGAATAACTAAAAGCTTTTCCACATTGTTTACTTTATAGGGATTGTCTTTAGTATAAGATTTTTATGAATATAAATAAAAGTGTAATAAGTGAAGGCTTTACCGCATTGATTATATCCATAAAGATTCTCTCCAGTGAGATCATGAGATCATGTTTTTGAAAGTCCTTGAAAAATTGAACTCTTCTCTATGTATCATTCATTTCTAAGTGAATTACCATTGTGCCTTACCTTGTCTATGATCATGTGAGAGAAGTTCTTGTGACTTCTACCCACACTCTTATCTTTCATATGGCTTCTTGCCAGAGTAAGTTACAATGTGCCTATTGAGTAATAGATGGCAAGAAGACTTTTTCATAAATACTGTATTCACATGTATTTTTCTTTTTAAGTTTCAGGTTTAAACACTATATATATATATATAATGTGTGTGTGTGTGTGTGTGTGTGTGTGTGTGTGTGTGTGTGTGTGTACTGGAGACTGAACCTAATGCCTTGTTAATGTGAGTCAAGCACTCTACCAACTGAGCTATATCCCCAGTCCAACACAATATCATTTTTATTTTAAAAGTGCCTCAATCATGATTTATGAGAAAATGACAGTTTTATTGAAACTGAAATTTGAGGGAGTACAGCATGAATTATGGTGTCTTCATTTTATTCATGATCCACTGAGAATAAGTACAATTTGCTAGGAAGATAAGAAAATCTCAGGAAACGGTCTTCTCTCTTTCTCCAGAATACACTAATGGTATCAAAGCTTTCTCTTTTACATTTTCTTTCCCTTTGCCAATGATGTCACAAATTTTTGGTGACTTCTTTTTGGTAGTCAGGGCTGCTTAGAATTAACTGTAGTGAACCCACCCACTCATGCAAATTAATTCACCACCCAGATTATTGCTGACATTCAGATCTTAACTGAAGATGCCAAGGTCCCAGGGAGCTGAATGTGAGATGGAAAGAACTATTTACCCACCATCCAGCTTGCTCTCTGGCTTGATGAAAGCAAATTTCTACATATCTTCAGCTATGCATCTTGAAAGAAAGAAGTCACAGAAAGTGAAAGAAGTCACAGAAAATATCTACTCAGCAGATTTGCAACCTGCTCTACATGCTACTTCAAGTTTTCTGTCCCCATCACCTGAGAGGAATGGCCCAACCATGACAGATCTCACAGCAGTCAAAGCACCAGGAAAAAAATTAATATGAACCAATGAGTTGTGCACATGTCCATTTAGAGAACCAGCTCCAGGTATGCTCCCCAGGTGACATGCCAAAATTGAACCATGAAGATACAGAAAATATAAACAGATCTATATCAAGCAATGAGATTGAAACATCAATTAAAAGCCTTCCAACAAAGAAAAGCCCAGAATCAGATGGCTTTCTTAGCTGATTTCTACCAGGCTTCGAAGAAGAACTAATGCCAACCCTCCTCAAATTATTTCAGGAAAAAGAAATGAACAGCCCCAAATTCATTGTATAAAGCCAGTTTCACCCTGATACCAAAAACAGACAAAGACACATCCAGGAAAGAAAACTACCAACCATGATGGACATAGACATAAAATTCCTTAATATTAAGTACTGGCAAACCACATTCAAAAACACGTTTACAAAATAGTATGCCATGATCAAATGGGCTTCATCTCAAGGATCAAGTTTAGTTCAATATACACAAATCAATAAATATAATTCACTATATAAACAGAATTAAGGAAAAGAATCACACAATCATCTCAATAAATACAGAAAAAAAATCCTTCAACAAAATACAGCACCCATTCATGTTAAAAAAAAAAAAACTGCAGAAACTAGAGACAGGAGAAATTTACCTCAACATTATAAAAGCTATAAACCAGCATGTCTAAAGCCAATATCATACTGAATGGAGAAAAACTGAAAGCATTTCCTCCAAATTCAGAAAGAAGACAGGACGTCCACTCTAACCACTCCCATTCAACATGGTTCTTGAAATGCTTGCTAGAGCAATTTGGCAAGAAAAGGAAACTAAAAGGATACAAATAAGAAAAGAAGTCATATTATCTCTGTTTATTGATAACATAATCCTATATTTAGAAGACCCCCCCCCGAAAAAAAAAAACACAGGAAGATTTCTAGAGCTCATAAACAAATTTGACAACATATCAAGATGCAAGATCAACATACATAAATCCATAGCTTTTCTATATTCCAAAAATGAATCTCCTGAGAAAGAAAGAGTCCTTTTCACATAATCTCAAAATAAAATACTTGAGAATAAATCTATTCAAGGGGGTGAAAGACATCTACAATAAAAACAACGGAAAACTGAAGAAAGAAATTTAAGAGAACGTCAGAAGGTGGAAAGACCTTCCATATTCTTGCATAGGAAGAATTAATATTGTCAAATGGCCACACTATACCAAAAGTGTTACACAGATTCAAATGCAATCCCCACCAAAGTACCAATGGCATTTTTCACAGAACTATAAAAAACAGTCCTAAAATTAATTTCAAAGAATGAAAGACCCACAACAGCCAAAGCAATCATAACATTACTCCAAGTCAAATTGTACCACCGAGCTATAGTAACAAAAATAGCATGCCACTGGCATCAAAACAGACATGAAGACCCATGGAACACAACAGAAGACAGAGAGACAAACCCACATAGATACATTCATCTGATATTCAACAAAAGTACAAAAAAATGGAGAAAAGAACCTTTTTAATAAATGGTGATGAAACTGGTTCTGCCTATTTAGAAGAATGAATCTACATCCTTATCTTTCATTCCACACAGAAGTGGATCAAAGGCCTAGTGATTATATCAGAAACTTTGCAACTGCTACACGAAAACAGGTTCAACACTCCAATATATTGGTACAGGCCCTGACTTTCTTAACTAGACCTCTAAGCTCAAGAAATAAAATCAAGAATCACTTATTGTATAACATCAAATTGAAAATCTTCTGCATAGCAAAGGAAACAAGAGTGAAGGGGAAAGTCTAAAAAATAGGGGTGGAGGAATTTTGTCAGCTAATCCTCTAAAATATATATATTAAAATTAAATTAAAAATAAATAAATAAATATGAATTAATATCCAGAATATATAAAAAACTCAAAAAACTTAAACCAAAAAAGCAACATAATCCATAAATAAATGACCAAAAAAGCTAAACAGACATTTCTCAAAACAAGAAGTACAATAAGTAAATATATGAAAAAAAATATGCAACATCCTTAGCAATTAGGTGAATATAAATCAAAACTACATTGATATTTCATCTGACTCCAGTTATAATGGGAATCATCAATAATACAAATAAAGGCTAGAGAGAATATGGAGAAAAAAGAACACTTTTACACTTCTATTTATTTATGTTTTAGGTGGTGCATTATATTTACATATAAAATTAGAATGCCTTGTGATGTCTTCATACATGCATACGGCATAATCTG